TTTGACAATTCCTTCTCATGTTTGCTGTAGCAAGCAATCAGTTGAAAAAATGCCTGATGCTTCTTCTGGACTTTCCTGTTATGTCACATGTGCCATCAAAATGTTTAAGAGGTTAATCGTCAATAATGATGGGGTGAATAACAGTAGAAGGTATACATTTCCTTTCCCGTTTCGTCCAAGAGCCAACAGTGTATTTAGGATTTACGGGTCTTGCTGTGCAAGGGAGAGCAACAGAGACTGGTCTAGATTGGTGAAGATTTGGTGCCTGTTTGTAATTTGGGAGAAGTGAAACTGAAGTACTGTACATCATGAGGTCTCTCCTCCTCTTTCCAATTGACTGGGGACAGGAGCTTTGAGGTTGGATGTGTGAGAGTATTTAACCATGACTATTTAACCCTCAACGGGATGCGGGTGATGCTGTGGGTTAAACCACAGAGCCTAGGACTTGCCCATCAGAAGGTTGGCGGTTCGAATCCCCGCGATGGGGTAAGGTCCCGTTGCTCAGTCCCTGCTCCTGCCAACCTAGCAGTTCAAAAGCACATCAAAGTGCAAGTAGATAAATAGGTACTGTTCCGGCGGGAAGGTAAACGGTGTTTCCGTGCGCTGCTCTGGTTCATCAGAAGCGGCTTACTCATGCTGGCCACGACCTGGAAGCTGTACGTCGGCCAATAAAGCAAGATGAGCGCCGCAACCCCAGAGTCGGTCACGACTGGACCTAATGGTCAGGGGTCCCTTTTACCTTTATTTAACCCTCAGCCCCAGTTACAATGCGTTCATATTAGTCCCTTATAGTTTTATGGTATTTTGTTGTGAAATCAATCTCGGTCATCTGCTCCAGTGGGTAGTCTCTCTTTTGTTGACCCTTAATTCTCTTCAGCCTTGAGTTAGTACACACACACAAACACATTTAGTGCCTTTCCAGACAATAAAAGCAACAAAATTTTATCTGAGAGCTGTAACCACAGGAACAAATAAAGCCACAAGCCCTGCTGAGTCAGACCAAGGGCCCATCGAGTTCAGCACCCTGTTACCCACAATGTCCGCTCAAGGTGCCTTATGGAAACTCACAGGACTTCCTTGTTCTTTCTTCCTACCAATTAGCATTTAGTAATATACAGTGGTACCTCAGGTTACATAGGCTTCAGGTTACATACGCTTCTGGTTACAGACTCCGCTTACCCAGAAATATTACTTCAGGTTAAGAACTTTGCTTCAGGATGAGAACAGAAATTGTGCTCCAGGGCGCAGCAACAGCAGGAAGCCCCGTTAGCTAAAGTGGTGCTTCAGGTTAAGAACAGTTTCAGGTTAAGAACGGACCTCCAGAACGAATTAAGTACCTAACCCAAGGTACCACTGTACTGCCTCTGAACACGGAGATCTGATTTAGCTATCATGTCTAAGCCCTATGCTCTACAATGCATGGGTTAGAGATGCGAAGGCCCAGGGAATGGAAAATTGTGTGTGTGGTTGTTTTTCTTCTGATTTTCTTCCTGCCCCCCCCCCCAAATTTAAGATCTTTAGGGAATCTCTACAAATACAAGAGGCTCCTTACTTTAGAGGTTAGTGCTCCCACTCAAGGAGGAGATCCAGAATGGCAATGGGTTTTTTTGTTCATTTTCACAGATCTCCTTGTGTGTTGACACTGTTGAAACACACCTGAAGTGGCTTCTGTGTTTAATCATCCTAGCTTTAATAACATTATCAGCACTTTACCAAGGCTACTGGATTTGTGACAACCTGTCTCCCCTTATAATTCCTTTATAAAGAATAGGGAGTGTGCAAGTTTTTTTTTTAAAAAAAGATGGTGTAGAGAGCAGCACATAACATCCAAAAAACTATTAAAACATTATCAGCATTTGTAAGCATTAGCATATTCTTAGCAGATAATAAATGTTATCAGTGTAGTAAGGGTGTTAGCCTTTATGTTGATTTCAGACTGTAAGCCCACAGCCCACTTTGAAATACTGAAGGGCAGAACAGCAGATAAAATCTGCACTTTGATATTTAAAAATAATGAAATTATTAATATTTGATGTTTATATGATCTTATTCATTAGCTACATATATACATTGTACAGGAGGCAGGACAACAGGGAAGCCTGGGAACAATCTAAAGTGATGATAAACAAGCATGATGTCAGCCATACTCTGGGACCTCCTTGATGGGAAAAAGTAGAACTTAACACTTCCTACGACTTGTGGTCATGCCACCAAGGATGTATTTAGAGGAGGTTTAAGAGAAGACTCTGCTTTTTAAAAACCCCATGGAGGTTCCCCGCCCTGCTTTTGACAGATGTTCTTATCATTAAATTGAGTGCTAAATGAGTTGTATATCTTCCATAACCTCCCATGCTTCAGGCGGGTTGTGAAGTGGCTGCTTGCAAATGCATCTGGTTGAAGATGGTTATGAACACTAATTTTTAAAAAGTTGTATGAGTTCGGGTTGGAAATTATGCAGTTTCTCTTGTTGGATCCAGGTGGGATGGACACTTTTTTGGTTTAACGTTGAAAGCCCCTTGCACAGAGGTATTATACTGCTGTTTTTGTGATTTCACAACAGTCTAGATAAAAAGAATGTTTTTGTTCACACTCACATAAAAGAATTTTTGCTGTTCTGGTTTTCAGTACCAAAATTTTAATCATCCACTTCTTTAGAGAGAATGCTTATCTGAAAGCAGAACATCCCAGAGGTAACATATGCTAATGCTTTCTTATCAGGCTATGAGGGCTGTTACTCTCCAGTTAGAAGTTATTTCAATTTGCATTTATCTAAACAACCACTAACCTGCAATTATCTCCTGAATTTCACATTGTAGGGAATTGCTAACACAACACTTTAAAATTACTGCATGCCTAACATAATGATCTACTGTCTGGTCTTTGTTGTAACTACCTTAATTCAGAATGAAGTCAGGGCGTGGGCTTGAATAAGAGTTCAAAGGGTTTCAGGAGCAGGCAAGTTCAAGACTAGGGTGCAATCCTATGCACTTACTGGGTAGTAAACCCCACTGAATATAGTGAGATTGACTTCTGAGTAAACACACAGGGGAGCAGTATTGTGGATTACATACCATCTTCCTCTATTTTATGAACAAAAGTTATTCACTGAACCATAGAACACAGAGCAGAAACTGATAATCTGCCTCTTAAATTGATCATGCCTTTCCCTGTCTTCAAGTCCAATGGTATCAGTGTGCCATGGAATGCACACTGGTAGGAGAAAAATGATCTTATACATCTTTTAGAACAGAACAGGAAATCTTTTTAAAAGTTAACACTCACAATTCTAAAACTTATAACTGGAATTTTTTAAAGACTAATGCACCATAGACTGAAGATTTGTTCTTTATAATCTAACAATAAATAAAACTGTTCATGGGCCATCCAGTAATTGTTCACTGTCTTTGTAGACCTAACTAGTGCTTTTGATTCCATAAATAAGCTTCAACTTAGTATGCCTATTGATTGTTGTGGCTACTTCAAAAGTTCCAGCAAAGAAAGCATTACATATGCCAACAAGTCAAAGTTACATTTTTGTCCCTTTTTATTTAATTGCTTATTAACAACATAATACAAGAGGTGCAATCTCCTGCCTTTTTCCTCCTGTTCGGATTCTGATACATACTAATGATTTAGATCTGTTGTCTGTTCACTGAACTGGTTTGAGGTCAATGCTAGTCAATTTCAACTCCTTTTTGCAATAAGTAACACCACAACACTATTTTAAAATGTGGGGTTGGGGGGGGGGGATTCTAAGTGGACAATGGATGACTGCTCCACAAATAGCAGGGGATCCGTTCATTCGAAACCCCATTTTGAAACTATTACAACAAGCTATTTTTACAGAAGGGGATGAATTGGTGTAGCCTGCCCTTAATAATATTTGGAAGGAAAGCAGTTGCCCTGAACTCTGGAGCAAGAGTAATACAGCTCTGCTGGAATTATGCTGGAACAGGTTTTTAGAGAAGCTCTTAGCGTTATCCTCAGGTACCTCAGCAGCCCTGCTGGCAGACGAGACGGACATACCCTCTATTGAATCAAGGTTTAAGAGGGGTGTAATAATCTGGTATTAATGCAGACTAAATAAAACCACTAATTCAAAAAATGTTCGTATGGAACAGAAGAGACGAGGGAGTAGTGCGCACACCCATCAGGGCAGAAGGAAGCAATATTCACTTCTCATAGAATACAACAGCTGACCAGTGGTGTCCAAATCTGGACTATGTGAGCAGATTACAAACTTCCACACATTAACGGACGGGGAAGTGATGGATGATAACCACTCTTCTCAGTGGATGGCGTGATGCCACTGAAAAGGAGCCGCACACGCTGCCTGCCCTGGAGTCTTTTAAAAAATGCTAGAAAAATCTGTGAAATGGGAAGACGAACATCGCTGCCCCCAGACAACTTAAGAAAGGGATCTGCAGGGCTACAGGTCCTAAGGGACCTTCACTTCAGCATCTAGGTGTGTTTGGATTCCAGCCGCCCTCATTCCTGACCAATGGCCCTACGGTGACCGAGGGACGCAGAATCCTGGCGTCCGACAATCTATAAAGGGCCACAGGTTCCCTCTCGCTGAATAAATTATATGAGGGCCCTCTGCGGATTGGCTGGTTTGGATAACAACAAAACGGGGGCGTGGCTTGTGGGCGGAGTTCCTGCTCGCAGGTGATGGCGCACCAGCGAGGGCGGGGCCTCGGCAGGATCGTTTTCATTGGACGACGCTTCTCATCCCGACGCGGGCAACGCGCATCCCGCAGCTTCGCCGGATTCGTCCGCGCCCGGCGAGCGGCCGCGGCGGCATCCAGAACTCTGGAGAATGCGAGCCGTTGGTGTTGTAGAGAATGCTCTTCACCTCCGCAAATAAGGCCGAGGGCCGGGGAGGGGGGGCGAGATCTCGGCAACCGTTACTTTCCCCACCATGTGTGACGCAAACCCCGTTGCCATTGGTGGAGCGTAAGGGGCTGTGGGCCGCGATTGGCGAGGGCAGAAGGGGTGGGCGGGTTTGGGGCGGAGAACGTTGTGGCAAGCTCTGGAAGATTCCTCCGCCCGCCGTATAAATAGGGAGGGGGGAAGCGGCTGCCGCCGAGCTAAAGCCTGGGCGGCCGAGCGAGGAGAGAGCTAATTGAGCCAGTGACTGTGAGAGCGAGGGCACTGGGCGACTGGCGATGGGGAAGGACTATTACCGGATCTTGGGCCTGACCCGCGGGGCAACTGAGGACGACATTAAGAAGGCGTATCGCAAGCAGGCGCTGCGCTACCACCCGGACAAGAACAAGGACCCGGGCGCCGAGGAGCGCTTCAAAGAGATCGCCGAGGCGTACGACGTGCTGAGCGACCCCAAGAAGCGCGAGATCTTCGACAAGTTCGGCGAGGAGGGTGCGTGCTTGGGGGGCCCTGGAGGGAGAGGATGCTTGGGAGGAAAGGGCAGAAGCGGGGCTCTCGGGACCGGCGCGAAATCGGTCCCCCTGCACGTTCACACGGCTCCGAAGTCCTGCAGCGGGCTCGCAGCCGTTTGCTCTAGACCGGGTTCCCGAGTGTCTTGCGTATTGTATATACCGCCTCTTAGCTGTTTATTATTCTTTCATATGCGGGAAGAGAATGGGCGAGGAGGTGGAGGGGGTCTGCTTGTAGTGCAAAATAAGAGGGGAGGGGATGCAAAATAAGCCCCGCTTTTTGAGGCGTCATGGAGTCAGGATTAACGCCAAACTGACAGTTTTTCATGTGTTGGAGCAAATGGAAAGTTGAAGTTGAAACTGTGTGGTGTATATACTTTATACGGTATACAAAAAGCACAGGGCAGTCGAGCCATTGTCCTTGAATGGGACGAGATCATTACAATATTATTTTTTTGCACTTACGTAAGCTAAGCGTTTTTTCCTCCCGCAGAAGTTGTTTTGATACCAGAGAGTACAGTCGTACAGTCAAATAGTGTCATCCCCCCCCCCGTCGTAACTTTCCTCCTCTCTCCCTCCTGCCCCACCCTTGAGCGATAACATCTTCTAAAAATCTCTGCTTTTATAACTGATCAACTCTGCCATTTAGCGCTGTTAGGAAGCATTTCCCTGTAGAGTGGCTTTTGGAATGACTGTTCAGCAATTAATCTACCAGGACTGGTTTTCCAAGATAGGTGAAGGGAGGGAAAAGTAGGTGAGAAGAAAGAACAAGTTATTTTACTCTGTCGTCCTGGAAACTAGCCAGATGAGTTGCCATCTTTGAATTGTTCATATAGTATTAAGGTCACTCCTTAAAAATCCACCATTACCTTTCAGGTTCTTCCTGTTTGAGAAACCTACTTTGAAACAAAGTGGAAATCATTTAGGCAGGGAAGAAAGTGAAAAAACAACTTTATGTAGGATTTAGCTCTATTGCTTTTCTGAGGATCTCACAGTTTTTCAATAAACTTATGCTTTCCAGCAACTTAGTATGCTTTTTTTGAATTGTTTGATTATTATTTTAGAAGGAACTAAACACAATACTGTTACTTTTGTGATCTATTAAGGCATGTAGCACATAGGATTGAAGTATTTAAATTTAGTTACAAGTATATTAGGTTTGTGTAATTTTTTTGGTATTCTATTGCCTGCATTCATAGTAAAATGCTTAGCAGTTTCCTGTAACATTGTTGGTAACATGTATTGACAGGATAAATTGGGCTGCATGACAGGCTTTCTAAGATAGGTGGAGCCTTTGCTACAAAAAGTCTTCTAGTACTTGCTAGAAGATTCTAGCATACTCGTCATGCTAACCTTTTCTTTACAATGTTAGTTTTTATTTGTAGGTCTGTTCCCAATAATATTTATTAATGTCATGTTAAAGACCTATTTGTTTATACAGGCTAAGGTGAAATGCATTCTAAGTGGTGCTGTGTTTGTGTAGCAGCATGGATTCAGTTATAATCTCTGCGAAGTGTGAAGGTTAGCCAATGTAGGGCCTTCCAGATATTGTTGGATAGCAGTACACATCAGCCCCAACCAGCATGACCAACATTGAGAGGTGATGGGAGTTATAACATGGTGGAGGACACGACATTAGCTACTCCTGAATGGTAGGGTTCTCAACACACTGCACTTGAGAAAATGGAGAGAAAGAAGGCTGCAACAGTTCTGATAAAATCTTTACTTGGCATTTCTTTGCTAACACGTGCTTGGCCTTTTGATACAGGACTTCCTTAGACATAATTGATTAAATTCCAGTGGTGTTCTCAGAGTTTAGTAAATTTTCGTATCACAGTAAAAGAGGCACTGAGGAAGAAGTTTTGAAGATTAGGAGTCCTAATATAAATCATGACAGAGCATAGCTCAGTAATTGCTGAAAGAGATTAATTTGTGTGTGCTTGTATGTATTTCAGGACTAAAGGGAGGTGGTCCCAGCAGCAGTGGAGGAGGAGGTCCCAATGGCACTTCATTCACATACACCTTTCATGGAGATCCTCATGCCATGTTTGCAGAATTCTTTGGTGGGAGGAATCCTTTTGATACCTTTTTTGTCCAGAGGAATGGCGATGAAGACATGGATGTTGATGACCCCTTCACAAGCTTTCAGAACTTTGGTAACATTGGCTTTTCCCGTTCTCGTGGGGGCGCTGAACATATACGCAAGAAACAAGACCCACCCATCACTCATGAGTTGAGAGTATCTTTGGAGGAGATTTACTCTGGATGCACCAAGAAAATGAAAATTTCTCATAAACGTCTCAGTCCAGATGGGAAAAGCACACGCAATGAAGATAAGATTCTAACGATTGAAGTCAAACGTGGCTGGAAAGAAGGAACAAAGATTACATTCCCCAAAGAAGGAGACCAGACACCAAACAACATTCCAGCTGATATTGTATTTGTTTTAAAAGACAAGCCACATAACATTTTTAGAAGAGATGGGTCTGATATTGTATATCCAGCCAAAATCAGCCTCCGTGAGGTAAGTGGAAATTCCTGACTTGTTGCTGATTAATGAAGTGGGGAACAAAGGGTTGGATTCACCGAACATGCCCTGTCAGCAGAAGTCCTAGGCAGGGATTTCTATTTGTACAGTGGGGCTTGCCTCTGAAATTGGCTCGGGGGGGGGGCATTCAGAGAACCCCAGAGCTTTGTGGGGAGGAAGGGGGGGGTCCTTCCATCAGGCGAGCTGTAATTCTTGCACAGATGGATTGTTCATGATAGCACATTGAACTCCATCTGAAGTTTCTAAATTACTAGATTTTGAAATGGGTAAAAATTGAGCATGTTCCAATCTATTTCCTACACATGATTATAGTAAGTGTTGCTATATTGTGGGCAAACTATTAAGAGTATACTTCATCAGAGCCTCATGGGGAGTGCACTGAGGAAGCAGATCATGATACAGTAGCAGCAGCATGATTTCAGGCACAGTGAAATATTATGGGATGCTGACTGTATATGTAGCTTCAATGTTTAGCTCAAGAGTTGTCAGCATTTCCTCCTGTCTTCATGAACTCATCAGTTGTCATAGGCCCACTAAAAATACTTGGGTTCAATGGGAATTACAAGAGGGAACTATTTACTGAAAAAGGTATTAACTTCTCTGGCTTGTGTTTGTGTTTAGGCTCTATGTGGCTGCACTGTGAACACACCAACACTAGATGGTAGGAACATACCAATGGTATTCAAGGACATCATTAAACCTGGAATGAAGCGAAGAATTCCTGGAGAAGGTCTTCCATTCCCCAAGAATCCAAGCCAACGAGGGGATCTTATTATTGAGTTTGATATAAGATTCCCAGACAGAATTCCACAGTCTTCAAAAAGTGTCCTAGAACAAATCTTGCCAATATAGTAAGACAGGCAGAACGGGACTGCTGTGCCTCCAGAGCAGAGGAATTGGAACTGGAATCAGGATTTCAGAGTCGCTTTTGGCAGTGGATAGGGAAGTTAACTTCATGTTGCTAAAAGATTTCTGGGAAATCCATTCTTGCAAGATGAACATTGCACTTCTCAGTGACTTTTGGCCCAAGTTGTCATTGCTCAAAACATTTACAGCAATGCTCAGTAACCCAAGAGAAGGAATTGGCAGAACATCTTTTAATTGAACGTGGAAGACGACAACCAATCATAATTCATGCCTTCACTTAGTTGGCTAACCCTACTTGGCCATGTCACATAGGTCCTCCCATAGGAAGGAGGAGATTACAATCTAAACTGGACTTCAGAAGTAAACACCTCCAATCTCTTGTTTTTGCTGTACTGTGTCTTATTGCATTCTGCACTATCTCATTCCCAGGGGGGTACCTTTAATGTTCAGTTTTCTAACTTGCTTGTTGCTCTTAAGGGTGCCCTTACTAAGCCATTCTAAAATGGTGCCATTTGTTGAAGCTCCTGGAAGGGAAGGCATCCTGAAACTTGGTCATAAATTGCCCTTTTCCAGAAGGTAAATTGGTGGAGTATGGCCTCCCCTGTTAAGCAAGCAGGATGCTGCCTTATAACTTCTGGAAAGCATGTAAGAAGTTTACAGGTTTTTTCAGTGAAATCTTTGACTTCTTGCCATACACTGTTTATATGTCAGACTTGATCCTGGTTGGTTGATTGGACCGGCAGAAAAGATGTAAAATATTCAGTTGAAGACATTCTTTAATAAACAAGTATTTCAATAGGTGATAACTATTGAAACTGAAAAGAGTAAAGCATTAATCATTTTTCTTAAAGGTATTGTTTCTAGTAAAGGAACATGTATAGCCTCCTGTAAACAGTTTTTAAAAATTATAACTAGTGTAAACAAACCTAGATGTGAGTGTTTATTGGTTCGTGGTCATGAAATAAGAAACTTGTCATACTGAGCTTCTTTCTTCAATGTTCTAGGTTTGAAAAATACCAAATTAACATTAAATAGCTTACATTTTATGGGCTTAAAATTATAATGGAATGCGTTCCAAGCTATGAAGAAATGCTCTTTAGCTACTACATAAATCCACAGCTTCTGCTGGATCTTGTCACTAAAATATCTGAACAGGCATTCCACTGTGCTATCTGATCCTAAAGAGGGATTAAATGGAAGGAAAATAACTGATTACTGCAGGCAAAGCTATCCATTTCTTCTAGAAATGCAACCTGTTTAATTTCCTCAGCAAGATTGCTTCTTCATTCCTCTGCGTGATTACTAGTCTAATGAATAGCAATTGTAAATCAAAGGGCCTCTGTGCCTTGCCATATGGTCTTTACATGTTCACTAAAACTCAGTTAACGTCAGAAGTTCTGTACGGTACCCACCGTGTGTCTGATAGACATGAATTCCAAATAATGGGTCACATACATTAACTCAAACTAAAATTATCTGTCTCTTGTACATAATGCGTATGTGCCAAAAATAGCTTGTGAGCACCTTGTTTCTTAATAGGCAAATGTAAGTTTCTACAGGAAAAAGCTAGAGAATTCATCTTCAGGTGGCGGGTTGGGATCTTATGGACATGCACCAGCAGCATTTCCATCATATGAGTATAAGATTAAGAGATTTAAGATTACTGGGCATATTATTTTAGTTTGGGTCTCCAGGGAACTGAAATTGGTCACCTTTAGGAGGAAACAAGCCAGTTGCAGAGCTATGTGTGGGAGTGTTCTCCAATTGATAGGATTTTTTCCTTCGGTGCCTGAGCTGCTATTATATTTATACCCTGCATTTTCCCCTGTTGGGGCTCAAGGCAGCTTAGAGATAAAAACAATCACATAAAAACATATAAACAAATAATTAAGAAACAAACATTCATAGACATAAAACTATACACATATATAAAATTGGTTTAAAACATACAAATAATTAAAAACAGTACTGCACCAGCCCTTTTTAAGAAAGCAGTCAATTCCCAAAAGCCTGTTGGAACAAGATCTTCACCTGCTGGCAAAAGAACAGGAAGAGAGCCAGTCTAGCTTCTCCAGGGAAGATAAAACCTGACATCATTTAGCTGCATCAAATGCAACCCTTCTGAATATTCTATCATCAGTGCAGTGCTCTAGAACTGCCACATTGGCTACAGCATCCTTTGATTCACATCAGAAAAGGTGGGAACGAATATTTTTATATGATTTGTTTTGTTGCTCACTCTAATACGGTTCAAGCAACAGCTTCCATGTAACATGTGAATGTGACAACTGATTGCACAGAATCACAGTTTTCATTGTTGGAAGCTGTACAGGATGCACCCCTAACTTTGTGACAGATAGCAAATGAATTCAGGCTACACTACAGATTCTGCAGTTAGCTCTTCTTTGTGAAACGTCTATTCAATTTGGCATTGGTAAGCTAAGGAGATTGGGCCTGAGACAGGGCCTGTCTCAACCTCTTCTGCGTTGGAGTTGCTTCAATTGTGTCCAATTGAAAAAAACCCATGTGTGGCAAACTTTACACAGGATGATTGAGTACATATCTATTTCAATGGTTAAGCAGGCGTTCACTATAGTTTCCTATGCATATATCCTAATGCAGGAGCAGTGAGTGGAACATATATGTGCAATCATGAACTATACTGTTCATGATATTTCCAACACTTAACTAGTTTGTAGGATTTTTGTCATGATGTCGCTGTCCAAAGACAGGCATCTTACACAGTTGTAATGTCATTAAGTACAAGGGTAAAAATAACTTCAGATTTTTAAAGTATTGGTTTCCATGATTGAGATAGCTGGGTTTTTGAATCTAGGTTAACTTTTTTTAATATTAGGGAGACAAAATTAGTGAGGTATGAGGACCCAAGAAGCAAAATATGATGGATGAAAATGGATGACCTAAGCTTGGATCTTCCTTTATTGTAAATACAAGCAGAAAAGTGAGTGAATTTTTTTTATTGTAAAATAATACATGTGTGGTCTAAGGAGGTGTATCTGCATTCTGGTCAAGACACAGCATTGGTACTATATGCATGTAGTCCAATAGGATTCCTGCAAGAAGTTCAGCAAGAAGAAGAAGAGACTGATCAACACAATTTTAAGGTATCTGCTGCCGCCTTCATTATTTTTTTCTTCTTTCTCTCCATACCATGGATATATTGGCAACAATGCTACCCTAATACACTACTGTTTATGGTCGTGCTTCCTATATTCTGTCAGTTCACACAGATTTTTTTTCTAGTGACGATTTAAGCTACAAGGGAGTAAAGGCTAAGAACGAAAGCCCTGAAAGCAAACCCTCCAAAGTATTGACTGCCAACTGGTATGTGCTATTGCACCAGCCTCATCCAAATAAGAATTCTTACCGTAAACTTTGCTTAAATTTTAAGGTTTTGTTCTGCATTCTAAGAAATCTCTTTATTTGCTTAAACTCAGTATTTAGCTCCCTGTTCCCAAAAGTCCCAAAGGAGCCTAGTCTATGTGTGCAGCAGGAAGATGCGGGTAGATAAGTATGTGCTGGATCACATTTCTAAATTCTTTGCTATGTGAAGAATTCTCAGTTCTCTGTAAGTTGAAAAGCAGCATAACAGAGAGCAACAAGCTGTGCTAGTTTTTAACTTGCTGAATATTTTATATGGGGGCAGGAAGCACATTCCAAAGTGATCTGACAGCTGAAGCGATACAGTCTGCTGCATGTGTGAGCCATATGAGCTTGAGCCAAGCAAGTTCCAAGAGATTAATTTTAGGAAGCTCAACCAGATAGCTGCCAAGAAGAGTGACAGGGGCTTGATGCTACACATGCAGAATATGGAGGTTAAGTGAACTCTTACCAGTTCAGACGGTAGGCCAGGAATCACATTTTTTTCTATCTGAAGAAAAGCAGTATAGAACAAGTAGAGCACAGGCTTGAGTTGAGCTTCTTTCCCTGGTACGTTAATTCTTAGTGCCTAGCTCATGCGTGGCTCTCCAGATGTTGCCGTCCCACTCTATTGGTTGCAAACAGCACAGCACAGCCAAATGGGAGGGACGATGGGAGCTGCAGTCCAATACCATCTGCAGGGCCATAAGTTCTCCATTCCTGGCCTAGGCTGCTAATAATCGGTGGTATGGCCAGGGCTGGGTAGAACCCAAGGGGTGCCTCTGCAGATGCATGCCCCTGCTCTCAGAGAAGTGGCTGTGGCAGTTTCTGGGTTTTAGAAAGATGTTATTTGAACCTGGAAGTTGCAGCTGTACAACCCCAGAAAGCGAGGCTTCAGTGGGGGTGGGCAGTGCAAGAAGCATGTGCAAGGTGGCATAACAGGACAGGCCACACCTGGATATGTCACAGAATAATGGCTGGGTGGTTCACAGCCAGACCTATCTGGTACAAATGTTAGGAGTCTACAGGAGTGGAGAAGATAACTATGGATGCCATCTTTGGAGCAGGATAATCAGGGCTAGCCCAATACATTTTGCTACCTGAAATAAACCAGCAAATCCCCCCCTTAATTTCAAGGTCCACAGCATCACTGAACATGCACAGAACTGAGATTAAATCAACATACCCCCCCCAGCAGTAGGTAGGCGAAACATAATCAACACTACTATGCCGACTGTCTTCTCATACAACCAAAGATAGCCCCACCCTGCAAATTCAAAGTAGTATGGCAGAGCCCAGGGCTAGCCCAAGGCATTTTGACACCTGAGATGAATCACAAAATGGTGTGCCCTGCTAGGGAGAGTGAAGATATATATCAGGAACAAAGGTGGGAGGAGACCAGCAGTGCTTCCTATTCACAGAGAGGTGGGATCTGCTGCCCCTGTGGATCCTGCCACCCGAGGCAGTTGCCTCACCTTGACTTGTGGGTGGGCTAGCCCTGGAACAGCCACAGCTGTATATTATAGGCAGTACTTTTTTCAAAAAAAAATATGAGAGGGGTACTCTCATTTTTCTACTCATATTGAAATACTGCCCCTCAATGAAGCCAAACTTAGATTCACAAAATGTTTAGGGGTATGTGTACCCGTGTCCCCCCAGGAAAAAAACCACTGATTATATGACACAGGGTATTATTATATGACCTATGCATTTGTGAATGCTTTGCTGAGCTTCCCTGCTGCCTCACTTTGCCTGGCGCTCGGCATACTTACTCAAAGGCAAGCACCATTATGTTCACAATGGGCCGCCCCAACCTATGATAATTCTGTCACGCCCAATTGATTCCAATGGCATTTTTAATCCAGATTTCGAAATCACCGAGAATTGGAGATTCTCTTCGACGCAGTGAAGGAAAAAGTGGGTGTGGGTGTGACGTGCGTCGTGGTGAGCGAATGTTGACACCCCGTTTCTGAAAGTGGGCAAGACGCCCTCCCTCGGTCACCAGTGGGCTGTGACATGTGGGTCCTTCCCACCCCCCACCCCCGGAGCCTTGGACGCCACCGCTGCCCTCCAAGAACCGCCTCTCCTACGGCCTAAAGTGGAGGGAGAGGCTTTTGCGGGACGAGGAGCGGGGCTGGTTTCGCGTGAAGGAAAAGCGCAGAGTTCTCCGGCTTTATGTGTTTCGATCCCCTCGAATTCGCAACAGGTTCCGGGGCGAGGCCGAAGTGGTGAACTCCGGTCCGCCCCTAACCTAGAGAAAAGGCGTGATCGGAATAGCGCACCTTCCCACCCCGGCTGCTAAGCGCCAGGCACAGACAAGTCTCCCCCTCCCTCCACCCGGGGCAGCTAATTCGCCTCCGGCTCAGGCCGCGCCCGGCCTCCCGCCTTCCCATTGGTTCCAAGCGCGCTGTAGTGACAGAATTGGCCACTAGAAGGCAATGAG